AGGCCCTGCGGTGTCTAGTGGGCTTGAATCCCTAGAAAATAGTTGAGACGACTGAGGTCCCGAACTGCAAACTTGCTCTGCAAAAAAAAAAAAAAAAAAGAGAATGCAAGGCGGAGCTCTAGTTCCCAGTTAGCAAAATGTCGTCCACGTAGACGAGGACGTAGAGACGGAGAGTGCCACGACGAAGGATGAACAATGATGGATCAGTTTTGGAGCCCTTGAACCCATAGAACTCCAAGGCTTGGCGAAGACAGTAAAACTAGGCACGCGTCGCTTGTTTCAGGTCGTAGAGGGATTTGCGTAGTTGGCATACATGTGTTGGGCGATCCGGATCGACAAAACCTGCAGGTTGTTGCATATAAACAGCTTCTGAAAGTTGCCCATGGAAAAAGGCGTTGGCGATATCCAATTGAACACCGTCCAATTTTGTGTGACGGCGAGGAAGAGGATGAGCCGAAGGGTTGTTGGTTTGAGGACGGGACTGTAAGTCTCGCCGAAGTCGATGCCAGGCCACTGTTGGAAGTCGCGGACGACAAGTCTAGCTTTGTAGCGCTCGACGGAGCCATCGGGGCGAGTTTTGATCCGAAAAATCCATTTCATGAGATGAGATTTTGATTAGTGGCAGGCGGGACAAGAAGCCAGGTGTGATTGTGGAGCAAGGCATTGTACTCTTCGAGCATGGCAGCACGCCAATGAGGATCCTGGAGAGCCTGCCGAGCGATCTTTGGAAGGGGAGGTAGTAGTGGTGTGGTGGAAATGAAGGTTTTCGATTTTAGGTGACCGGTTTTGTAGCGGGTTCGCATATGGTGGGATGGGGGAGGATGAGTCATTGAACGAGATGGACGGCGGGGTAAGGTAGCAGTAGAGGGTGAAGGACGAGATAAGGGTGGAGTGACGGCGGAGGGGACTGGGCGATGAAGTTTAGTGCGAGGTTTGTTGGGTGTGGGTAGAGGAACAGTGGGTCGGGCTAGTGTATTTGTGGGAGGGGAGGTAGTGGCAGGAGTGGGCTGAGATCCGGGGGAAGCAGTGATGGGCCGAGGAGTTGGGTTTGAAGGAGGCATATTGGGCTGGGTAGATTGACGTGGTGGAGGAGGGGTAATGGGAAGATGGGGGTTAGAGTGCAGTAGATGGTAGGGAAAAGGGAGAGGGATGGGACCCGATGGGGGAGTGCTTGGGTTTGGTGTAGAAATGGGTTGATATTTGGAGTCAGAGAAGGGGAAGCATTGTTCATCGAAAAGAACGTGACGAGAGATATGAATTTTATGGGTGGAGAGATTATAACACCGATAACCCTTGTGGGTGGAGCTATAGTCAAGGAATATGCATGGTGCGGAACGAGGTTGTAATTTGTGGCGAGTAGTAGGGCGAAACCAAGGGTAGCAGAGAGTACCAAAAATGCGAAGATTAGAATACTCGGGTTTTTGAGAGTAGAGAAGTTCGAGGGGAGTGCGATTGTCGAGCAAGGGGGTGGGCATTTGATTAATAAGAAAGACTACGGTGTCAAAGGCATAGGATCATGATTTTATAAGAACAAAGGCATGGTGTAGGAGAGCCAAACCGGTTTCAACGACGTGGCGAAGTTTGTGTTCGGCACAACCATTTTGTTCGAGAGTGTAGGGACAAGAAGAGCGGTGAATGATGCCATGTTTTTGGAGATAGGTGCCTAATTTTTTATATTCACCGCCCCAGTCGGCTTGAAAGATCTTGATGGGGCGATTAAAGAATTTTCCAACTTGGGTGCGAAATGTTATAAATATGGAGAGAAGATTGGAGCCATGGCGAGTGGGAAAAATCCATGTAAATTTACTGTAATGATCATAGAATAATATATAATAAAGGTGACCATCGACAAAAAGAATAGGGGAAGGGCCTCAAACATTGCTGCAAATTAAATCAAGAGGACCGGAGGCAGAAAAATTGGAAGGAGAAAAAGGAAGTTTATGGATTTTGGCAACACTACAACCATGACATAATTGAACCTCTGGTTTATTAGAGACATGAAGAGAATGACGACGGAGGACTTGGCGAAGAACACAGGAGTGCGGGTGACCAAGACGTTGGTGCTATTATGAGAGTGTGGAATGAAGGGCACGAGGAGCCGCATGAGATAAAATGGAGAGGGGCACCGAGTAGAGGCCATCTTTACTGCGTCCCTGATGGAGGATTATCTGGGAGCGGGAGTCCTTTATGATGAAAGAATCAATTACAAAATGAATAGATAAAGGATTAGTACGAGTGAGAGAGTTGATAGAGAGCAAATTATGAGAAGTAGAAGGAACATGGAGAATATTTGTGAGACGAAAAGGATGAGGACCAAGGGACACTTTAGAGGAACCAGAATGAGAGGTGGGAAGAGAGTTACCATTGCCAAAGGAGACTTCGTCCAGCCCATGATATTCGGAGTGGAGAGCAAGATTATTGAGGTCGGAGGTGATGTGATAATTGGTGCCGGAATCCATTATCCAGTCTTGCGGGGCAGAAGAGGAGGTATAATTGGTCGAGGGTGGGAAACGAGACATCAGGGAAGGGTTGGGACAGTGTTTGGCAAGATGACCAAAACCGCGGCAGGTGAACTGGTGAAGCATTGGAGCGTGCTGTTGCCGGGAGGAGCACGGTGGCTAGGCCTGGGCCCAAGAAGCCCTGCGCCGTATCCTGGTCCTGCAAAAGAGGAAGGGAAAACAAATGGGTAAGTGGAGCGATCACCGACTCTGTTTCGGGAGCCACGGCCACGGCCAGTGGGATGACCATGACCACGACCACCGAAGCTGTTGCTGTTGTGGTTGTAGCCGCCACGACGACCATAGTGACTGTAGTTCGCCTGAGCGGCGTCACCATCAAGAAGAGGACCAAGGCGGTGGAGCCGGCGTTCCTCGTTGAGAAGGAGACCGTGGAAGTCATCAAAGGAGAGGGGTTCCAGCTTGGTCTCAATTGTGCGAAAAAGGGCAGAAAGTCATCGCCAAGACCATGAAGACAGCGATCGACCAATTCGTCGTTGGAGATCGGGTTATTGAGGGCAACAGGGCAATCAGAGAGTTCTTGAGCACGAGCTAGGTATTTGGCACAAGAATCATTACCACGAGAGAGCGCACCGAGCTCAGTCCACAGTCCGCGAAGAGTTTGGCGATTACCAGAGCCGTAGGTGGAAGCCAATCGTGTCCAGGCATCAAGAGCGGTGGAACAGCCGACCAGGCGTGAGAGAACAGAATCGGAGAGGGAGCCAACGATCCATGAGAAAATGAGTTGATCGAGGCGGAGCCAAGCAGTATATTCAGGGTTCGGTTGACCACCGTCGAGAGCACGAGGCGGGGCGGGGAAGCTGCCATCAACGAATTTGGAGAGATCAAAATTTGTGAGAGGAAGAAGTTGCATCTGCCAGAGCAGGTATTTGGTAGAGGTTAGTTTGGTGGAGATGTGGGGAGCCGAGGGTGGAGTGAAGGGAGAGAGAGAGGTTGCAGAGGCTGGAATAGGACCAGTGGCATCAAAGGATGAAGAGGACGAAGTAGACATGATGAAGAAGGCGGAGGGAACAGAGGAAGAGATCGAGAGAGAAAAGGGGGGATAAAAAAAATCTTAATTTGCCGTTAGGCTAATGGGCTCTGATACCATGTAGAGTTTGTAATTCTCTGTGTGTTTCATTGATGATTGAATGACAGATTTATACAGGAGATGTACAAGATCAATGCTAGTACGTGAGTATAAGAGAAAGAATATGAACAGAAAAACAGAAGGTTGTTGAGTGGAGGAAGTGGCGGTGGACTCGATCATCCTTAACAACACCGGTATCGAGTCGGTCGGGATCTGTACCTGTCGCGGAATTGATCGCTGTAGCCAAACAGAGAGCGGATCCAGCCTGCGTGTTCAAATCCTGCTCCGTGAACACGGACTCGCTCAACGCTTTGAGGAAGTGGAGGAGAACGACGACCTTCCGCAACTTCATCTCTCTCCTCTCCTCCTCCGTATGTCAGGGCTTCTCCCAATGCCTCCCATGGATGGAACTCATCGACCGCTCCACATCCGCTCGCCCTGACTCCCTCACGGGAGCCGTCGACTGGATCCGCAAGATGGTGGCTCAGGAGGAGGAAGCAAAAGAAGGTGAGAGGGGAAGGGCTGGCTGAGTGAAATGACTAATTTCAAATTAGGATTAGGATACGACAATGGCAGTTGTAATCATATGGTGAATTTCAAATTAGGGGTTGCAATTCACCTCCGACATCTTCCAAACATGGAAAGCCATGTTCATCGAGCGAACCAACAGCTCCAATTCCTCTGCTGCACATTGCAACCCCGCCTATGAAGCCACACACGCCAGACAGAGAGATTCCTAGTAACAATGCCGCTGGTTCAACAAAGCCAACCCACTTTTCTAAACCCAAAACCACCGCTTTTGCTTCAGCAAAACCAAACCACTTTCCTAAACCCAAAACTATCGCTCCCACTATCCATCTTCCGGTTCCCAAATGCAACAGCCCCACCTGAGACAAGATCAGGGAGCAACTCTGTGAGGGCATGTGTAGAGTTGTTCGCTGAAGTATACTCAGAGCTTTTCACCTGGGTGAACGCCTATGACCCGGTTTTTGTCGCCATGGCAGTGGAATCAGTTATGTTCGGTGTGTGGGGGTGTTCCACTGGAGGCCATACGGTGAATTACAATTTCTCATCACATTTAAATTCAATTTTGGTTTTAGTTTAATTTATTGTAAAAATGAGGTGAAAATTATAGAAGATTAAATTTTATTATTTTATTAATTTTTTAATTGCCACGTCACTCACTTAACAGTCCACTTTTAAGGTTGACCGCCACGTAAGCAAAAATTAACAGAGTTAGACGTCGAGTGACCAAACTTGCACGTTTTTTTTATAATTTCAGTCACCAATATGCAATTAATCAAAAAATCGAATGTATATCAATTGAATCAGTGCGGCTGCGTCCGATGCCAGGGTGGAAAACTTTAGGTGTTGAAAAGGTTTGGAACATAGCTAGCTTCTGATGCAGACACAAGGACAGGGGAATTGGGAAAAGACCGATTTGACACAAATGTCCCTGCCTCCATTTGCCAAGACTTTTCCTTTGCCCCCACCTATAAAACCCACCTGGGAAGAATCGGCTAGAGAGCAGGGGAAGAATGAGCGGGAGGGTTTCTTTCTGATTGAAATTTCCAAATCCAGCAAGCGAAAACCCGCTTCCGTTTCTTCCTCCTCCTTCTCCCAAAATGGAAGGGGAAGTTGGACCCGCCGCTGCCGCGGTCGTGCCTGCCTCCGCCACCGCTGTGCCGCCTCCCTCGCTGCCTTTGGTGTCCGATTCGTCGTCTCTCGTCACATCCCATGAGGAGAATCCGGAGGAGGCCCACGCTCTGCCGTCGGACGAGGAGCAGGAGAACAACGAGCAAGACCCTGACCTTGACCCGGACCACGGCGCCGATCATGATGAGGATCACGACGGAGACCAACACCAGGCGTCGGAGCAAACGGACGACGATCTTAAGCTTAAAATCATAAAGCAGGTGGCCGACGCTGTTAATTTCTTTGTTCTATCCATGTTCTTTTCGAGGGCTAGCGGTTCTTCTGGTTTTCATTATTATCCTCGCTAATTCTGCTCTTATTGCCCTTCTTTGGGCTTTAGGGATTGCAATTTCTTTTTAATATGTTGTATGGAATGTTGGTTTACAAACCCGAGTCATTTCCCATTGGAATCGCTTGTCTGCTAATTGATACTTTATTGGTATGGTTGTTTCGGTAAAAAAAAATTCTCATGGAAGTTCTGCACTTGTAGGTGGAGTACTATTTCAGCGACGAGAATTTGCCCACTGATAAATACATGATAAGCTTGATAAAGAAGAACAAAGAAGGTTTTGGTAAGTGTTTCCCCCTCCTAAAGGGGGTCTCTTAATTCATTCCCATGTGCTACTGTGATTCAGAAGAGTGTCCCTTCTCATTGTTTGGTTATGTACGTGCTTTGTATGAACATTCATCATCGCTGATGCAATTCACTGCTTAAAAACTGAATCTTTTCTCGCCTATAAGAACATGGTTTGGCTCCTTAATGATCGTCTTGTTCTATGCTCCATTGTCTACTTTAACTTGTTTCTGTGCTCTATTACTTTTCTTTTAGGCTGTAGTTTGTAAACGGAGAGTAGGTGGTGTATTTTGCTGTATGAAAGCATGACATGTTCTGTCGTCTACTTCTGCTGATCATTTCAATCCTGCGGTAGTGACTGAGTGTTGTTTCGTCTTTCATTGCAGTTCCTATAAAAATTCTGGCTTCATTCAGGAAAATGAAGAAACTTACCCTTGACCATGAATTCATCTGTGCTGCGTTAAAGGATTCACCACTTTTGGTAAGTGACTTAACCTTGTTTATGTACATCGGGTACATGTTTCGTATATGGGGAAAATGAAAATCCTTCCTTTCTCACCACTGTGTCTTCTCTTCTGTAGGTTGTGAGTTCTGATGGAAAGAAGGTGAAGCGCCTTAATCCTTTTCAAATGTCAGAAGTAAAGGATCCAAAGGTACTAGTTTTTTTACTTCATCCCCTCTACTTCATTTGTAGAATATCAGCTTTTAACTTGAGCTTATTTTGGATCTTAGCTTTCCACGGTTCTGGTGGAGAATCTTCCTGAAGATCATTCTTTGGAAAATATCCGAAGCATATTTGGTGAAGCTGGGAGGTATAACGTCTGATATGTGTGCTCTTCTTTTTATATCCCTGGTAAGTGCATCTGATAAATATTGGGATTCTGACAGGATAAGGAAAATCACGTTTCGTGATCCTCATGCGGGTGAAGTCTCAAAGAAAGGAAGCAAAACAGATTTTCTCGTTAGCATCAAGGTATTGAATACCGTTTTAAGTGGTTGGTCGGCTAAATTGTTGGTGATTCTTGTTCCGGTGATGCCTATCTTTTGCATTTCTTGCTTACTTAAGCACTTATTATCTACTATTGAGACGCATCATGCTGTAGGTAGGCCTCCTATGTGAAGTTCACAAATCACCAGATAAACTGAACTTTCTTGTCATGTGGTTCAATAGTTCTAGTTTTTCCTTGTGCAGTTACACGCCCTTGTGGAATACGACACTGTAGAGGCTGCTGAAAAAGCTGTGGCTAGTTTGAACAATGAGCAGGACTGGAGAAATGGCATGCATGTGAAACTTCTCAAGCGAGTGGTGGTGAGTCATCCTTTTATTTTGTTCTCCGACTCCTTGGGAGAGATGCTAATGCACTAACGATGATGTGTGGCCGTAGGGCAATCCTGCACAGAGGAAGCCGTGGAAAGAGCACGATTTTGACAAGAGTAGCAATGTTCGCGTGTCTTCTTCTCAAACTGTAGGGGAAGAGGTGGTTAATCCCACACAGGAGAACCGCCATGATTTATCACCAGAAGAAGAGGTAACTAGCTTTATAGTTTTTTGCTTCTTGTCTGTTATCCCTGGGCTGCCCTACGTAAGTTAAGGCCTCCCTCTTTCTCAGGAGGCAGAACATGTTTCCAAGGAGAAGAATGGACAGAGAGCAAGAGCTAGAGGACGAGGTCGAAGGAATAGATATCACAATTCTAACGGAATGGGTAAAAAAATTTACACACTCAAGTTACTCATCTTAGTTCTCTTGAGTAATATCATGTAACTACATGGTCCATCGCTTCCCTACAGGCCATGGAACCGCATCCTCTGTGCACGCAGCCGAACCCTCAAAGCCTCCGCCCGGACCGAAAATGCCTGATGGAACCAGGGGATTCACGATGGGACGTGGCCGCCCTCTCGCCTCCTCCGATGTGGTGAAACCCATTCAGCAGCAGCAGACGGTCTGAAGCTGATCATGTGTCATGCCAGTGTGCACTACGTTTTAGTGTTTTACCATTTGTGATGTATGTTTACTATTGCGTGGTGGGAACGGCAAGGATTAGCCTCTTTGAAACGGGTTGTTGTGGGTTTGTCTTAGTTTTGTTGGGGGTGAGTTTTCTTGCATGGTTTTGAAATGTAGGATGAAGATGGGGAACAGGTCGATGCCTTTCATGTGCTCTACAATTAGTGTGCCTGTTTTAGTTTGGTGTACAGAAATACGACCTCCTCATCCCCATTAGTAGATGGCTGTGAATGAATTGTGACTGTTTGCTTTCCTCTCTTCACTCAATTCCAAGATGCCTTGTTTTGGAAGCCACAAACCCTTAACACGGCTTCCATCCTTTTGCTGTTTGCATCTTAGTGTTGGTGGTATGGTGTTAGGGCTGGCTATTTGGTTCGGACTATTAGGTTTTACCGGAAATCGAACTGTATAACCTGGACTGCGACCGGATAATAAACAATCCAATCTCATATTCGTAGATTTGAGGTAAAAAATTGTTTGGGATCGGATCGAAAACCGGATAAAGATCGGATAAGAGAACCCAACACTCAAAACTTAACCAACTTCTCACCCTTTGAGGCCTCAGGCCACTCAAATCCCCACAAGTTCAATCTAATATCAAGACCAAATTGGGACCGGACCGGATAAAGACCGGACCATGACCAGACTATATTCAATTCGATCTTTGGTCTTTATATTCCCGAAAGAACTGGACTGGGACCGGATCAATTCGGGCCAATTTAACCGGACCAGACTGTATAGCCACCGTGTTGCGGGAAGGTTATATAAGTTTGTATCAGCCAGGCGTGACAATGATTTATCGATAATGTATTGAATAAGATTTATGATTGCAGCGTTAACTATTTACTAACTGTAAACTACATATGCGTTTAACCACTCTCTCTCTCTCTCGTTTCAAATTGTTCTGACCTCTCTCTAACTTTCCCACTCCATTCTCCAGGGGAAGCCGCCGGCTTCACCTCTGTGTGACCGGCGGCATCCCAAATCGCCTCTTCTAATGTTCATTATGATGTTTCATTTTCCATCCCCTTAGTGGGTTCTCCATTTCTATCTTTGCTATTTTCCTTAAGTGGATTTTGCCATGAACTTCTCATAGGAGATGTTTCCTCTTCCACATTTCAGATCAGTTACCAGATCTTGAATTCGTTCTTTGTGTGCAGAGAGAATTGCTTTGCAATTTACAGCTTTCTTGTTGACTTTTGGAGCTCTCCTCCTTGCTTCACTCAAAATGGCGCAGTGATTCGGTGGTTTGGCTTGATGTCGTTGGTTCTACTGTCAACTAGGTGGTTGTAGGGATGTTTGGCTTTTCTTTGAGGTTTTGATGCTCTGTCTCTTTTTCTTGTGGTTCGTTTCACTTGGTGGTGTCTGGGAGTCGGCGGCGGGTTTGGTTGGTGTGGGTGCTGCTATGTTTGTTGGAGGTGTTGTTTCGGGGTGGGTTTATGCAGGTCGGGTGGCGTTCTCATCTGTTGGCTGCTTGTGCCTGTCTTCGATAATCGTTGTTTGTTGTTGTTTTGGGTTTGGTGTTGATGGCGGCAGTGGGATTCAGGGTTGGTGGGGGTGCGTTGGTGCTTGTTGTGGAGGACTTCCTCCGGGTGCTCTTGTGCTGGACAGGGTTTCTTTGGTGTCGGATTCTAAGGATGTGGGGGTGGTTCGTTTTCATCGTTGGTGGTCGACGGCTGTTGTTGGTTGCAAGGTGCGGCGGTGGCGGTTGTGTTGTGTGGGTGCTGAGGCGGTGGTCGACGGTGGGGTTGTTGGGGTGGTGGCAGCGTTTTCTGTTGGCGGTGGTCGTTGGCGATGCTTGTTGGGTTGGTGGCGGCGATGGCTTTGGGTTGGCGGTGCGACACGGTGCTGGTGGTGGCTGCGCATGTTGCTATGCTTTGGTGTTTGCTTTTTTGTTGGGCTAGGGTTGTTTTTGGGCGGTGATCTTAAGTGGGGGGCTGTGGGCTTTTTCGTTTGTTTCTCGTGTAGGTTTGAGGTTTGGTTTTCTTTTCATTTCATTTGTTTTCATTGTGCCTTTTTGTAGTTGGTTTGGTTGTGAGTTGTTGTGGGCTTCTTGTTTTTTGGGACTTGTCTTTCATCCTTCCTGGACTTTGGTCCAAACTCTGTAACACTCTCCTATTTCGTAATGAAATTAGGTTTCGTCAAAAAAAAAAAAAAACTACATATGCGCACATTAAATTGAGGACGTGCCATTGTAGTCTAAAATTGATCCGCAAATTTGCCATTTCCACAAAAATTTACAGAGAAGAAAATGGGTAAAAGCCAGATTTGATTGTTGATATTACTAATTCATGTCATGTTTAGTCATTAGAAAAAAATTAATATCAATTTTGGTCACTCGAATTGCCGAAATATGTCACATTTAGTCACATTTAGTCACACTCTCCCATTAGTTTCCGTCCAACTCCGTTAACGGAGTTGGATGGGGGCTAACGGAGAGTGACTAAATGTGACATGTTTCAGTAATTCGAGTGACATTCATAAAAACAAAAGTAATTTGAGTGACCAGAGTTGGACGGAGGCTAGTGGTAGAGTGACTAAATATGACCTGTTTTAGTAATTCGAGTGACTAAAATTGATATTAATTTTTTTCTAGTGAATAAACATAACACGATTTAGTAATCCTAGTGACTAATTGTGGCATTTACCGGTGGCGTCTTCGGTGCACTCACTTATTTGGGCGCATTCAGTGCACTCGCTTCATAACCGTCATTTTAAAAATGAGATTTGTGTCAAAATAATGTCAATCATCAATTATGATGTGATGAACAATAATGCAGATGAATTGCACAAAACCCATTAAATATTTACTTTAATTTGAAGGATTTAGAGTTTAGGAATTTAGGGTTAGGGTTAGGTTTACAATTTGGGGTTTAGGGATAGAACTCAAAATTGGAGGTCTAGGGCTTAGAGTAATCCACTAATTAGTTGTTATCATATGTTATATCATCATATTACACTAAATCTACAAATTAAAATTCAAAATCTGACACGTTAAAACTAATTTTTGAGTTGGGTACTGTTGATGCCGGGGTTGTAGCCAACGTCGAATTTTTTATGATGGGCACCGGAGTCGGTCGACGACCACCTTTCACCTCGAACTTCACTCGTGATGTTAGCTCCGGTCGTCTCCTGCAAAAAGGGTCCGCCGGCCGATCTCGGTGCCCATCATAAAAAATTCAACGTCGGCTACAACCCTGACATCAACAATTGGCGCCCACCGTGGGGCCCTGGAGCAAAAGGTTGGAAAAAAAACCTAGCGCCACTACTTCGCTCGGGATGGAGTCTCAAAGCTCCCTACACCTCCAAACTGGCGGCGGAATTCGAGACAAAGAGCCAGCTCCTCCACCGTCTGTTGAAGAACTTCAAGCCCAAGTTGAGCAGTTGAAAGCCCAAGTCCAAGCATTGACATCAACTCCTCCTCCAACCCATGGGTTGCATGCCAGCTCTAGCCACCAACCGGAGACCACCGGAGGGTCAGCCTACCCCAATGGGACGTTGACACGCTAAAACACAACACCTAACAATGGCCAAGTGTAACCAATGAAAGGGACTGCAGTAACAGGCAAGTTTAATTATCAACCCGGGGTCTAGATCTACTGCTTACTCCGTGATTCTCTATTATCTAGCAAACTAATTCGAGTGATTGTTGTGAAAAGTAAAAGCAACAAGAAAGCAGTAAATTGTTCGGGTTTCTAAAGCAGGCAAGAGTCACTCAGGATTGAGTCCCCCTAGCCCCTTAGTTAGGTTCAATTGTAATTCCCTGGGTTGATTTACTGTTGATTAGACTGCGGAAGATCCGACAGTGGCTTGGAATCTCTTAAGCTGACCAAGCCCTCTCAGTCTAACTACCCGGCAGACGACTAGTCTTCACCGGGATAGAAAGCTGAGGCTATGAACACAGAACTCCACTACTGGCGCCAAGAACACCAGTACAAAGCAGTCAACTGGCTAACTCTCGTATAGCCAATCCCCTACTATCGAATGAAGAGGCTCTAACAACCTAATCAGATTCTATCTATCTCAGGTTGCAGCAGAAATTGAGAAAAGCTGATCAGACTCAAATCAATTCATTAAACATGCGTCATTCGATTAAAATCAAACAGTAATATCATCCCAAGTCATTACAATCAAATCCCTAACACAAGGAACTAGGGTTCTTCATACCCAAGTGAGAGAAGGGTTCTACTCCATAGAGAGAGAAGAGAAAACAAGAATCGGATTAGTCATACTCATAACGATGAGGATAATCTGCTCCGGGACGATGATTTCCACTCCTATGACGATCTCCAGGCTCGATTCGATGAAATCCAGCTCTAAGACAGCTTCTAGGGTGTGTTCTTCGCACTTTCTCTCTCTAGGGCTCTGTTTTTGCTCTCAAAACACGACTCTCCCCCTTCTGGCTCGGAATAGGCTCTAAAACAGGCTTTCCCGACTCGCACGGCCAGGGTGCACGGCCGTGCAACTCACCCACTTGGCCGTGCACTCCAAAACGCAGCGTTTCCATTTAAGTCGACTTCAGTCATCTTGCACGGCCAGGGTGCACGGCCGTGCAATCTTCAGGGCCTGCCCGTGCGTGGCCTCGGCTCAAGGTGCACGGCCAACTTGCAACCGTGCACGGCCGTGCAGCCTCCCTGGTCTGCCCGTGCAGCTCCCAAAAACCTCGCCATTCGTCCGATCTTCGTCCAATCGACCCCAGACTCGCTCCTAAGCCTTCATTCACGTACTAGGACCTGAAATATCACAAACAAACACAACCTAGCGTGAAATCGGCCTAAAACACGAGAATCAACACCTCAAACGATGTAAGAACGGGGGTAAAAACATGTGTAAATGACGGTCTATCAAACTCCCCCACACTTAACCGTTTGCTTGTCCCCAAGCAAACCAAGTCAGACACTAGGTAAGCTTACATATTTCAATCAACCAACATTGGGGACAAGTCATAAAGGCACAGACACGTGAATCGCACTGGTTTTCAAACATCAATACATGCACAACCTCAATAACAACCTGGACAACCACCACAAAGGACATTCGAGTGCAGCAAATCGAGTAAAGGAAGAGTCTCCCTTCTGTTCACTGGCCAACCTAGACTTGATTCAACCACTTACTCAAAACAGTCAACTCATGCATCCAACTCAAGACATCAGAATAGAGACCGAGCAATCTAGGTCCTCACCGGGGTACAAGAGCATATAGAAAATGAAAATGAATCACTCACTCGACCAGTGGGGTCAGGACAATTTGATGCGAAAGATGCGCATGCTATTTCTCTCAATACCTATCATCTCTTCACCATGATGGCAGCCTCTAAATGCTAGAGTTCACATATGGGGTGTCACCACTAACTAATCAGGAGGTCTTAGACACAGGTTCAAATGACTGGCTAGGGTCTTGGACATGGGGAAAAGGCCTTTTAGGTGGTGGAAGTATTCATAGC